TGGAATGTAAATCTAAAGAGATTATCCAGTGGCTAGAAAGATGGGAGAAAAAAAGAAAACATAAACAAAAAGAATAGATTAAAAGACATGGAAAATAGAGAAAAAGGTCTAGCAAATTTAATCAGAATTCCATAAAGATAATAGAAACATAAAAGATAATATGTAAGGTGATAATGACTGAAACCTGTCTCAGAATTATTCAAAGATATATATCCTAACATACAGGAAGTCCAGCAAATCACACAAAAAAACAAAATAAAGCAAATGCAAAACAAAACCCAAAACACTAGAGAATAGACATTGGCAACAGTCTTACCACCATCTTTACAACAGAAATAATGAAAACTATAAGATGGTGGAAATTCGTATGCACACAAAAGATCTTAAGCCACAGAAGGGACAAGCAAGAAGACTAGAAACAAAATAAAATAAAGCAAAATGCAAAACAAAACCCAAAACACCGTAGAGAATAGACATTGGCAACAGACTGACCACTATCTTTACAACAGAAATAATGAAAACTATAAGATGGTGGAATAATACCTTAAGTGGACTGAGAGAAAATAATTGTCAACCTAAAACTGCACACCCAGCAAAACTGTATTCAAGTGTAAGGATAAAATAAAGACATTTCCAAACAGACCTGAGAGTTTACTACCAGTAGACCCTCACTAAAGGTGATTCTAAAGAATTTTCTCTATGAAGGAAAAATGTAATCCCAGACAGATCTGCTATGCAAAAAAAGGCCGATTATGAAATATATTGATAAGTGTGTGCATAAATCAAAATAACAGTTGACTGCAAAAAATTAGAACAATAATAGTGACAATGTCTAACTTGTGGGGGAAAAGAACAGCAATTTAGAGAACTAACATATTGGACAACAACGGCTTTGAATTTGGCAGTGGGTGGTCAGTGTTGAAGAACCTTGTTTTATTTACAAGAGTGTTAAATTTATTAAATATTTAGATTGTAAGTTAGTATACATGTTTTATTATAAAGGTAAAATTGTATGAATAACTTCCAAGACATAGAGGGGGAGAAAGTAGAAAAAGAAAAAGAAAAAATAATTTAGTCAATTCTAAAAGTGTAGGGGGAGAAAAAAACCCAAACAAAAAACAGAAGAACCAGGACAAGTAGATAAGTAGAAAGCACAAATAAGATGGTAGAAATTAAGTTCAAATATATTCATTATCACAATAAGTAGAAAAGGGCTAAATTTCTTAGTTAAGAGTGTCAGACGGTGTTTTTTGTTTTTTTTTAAGCGACTCGCTTTATGTTGATTTTAAAAACACACCCCAAATTAGCCGGGCGTGGTGGCGGGTGCCTACAGTCCCAGCTACTCAGGAGGCTCAGGCAGGAGAATAGCGTGAACCTGGAACCGGAGCTTGCAGTGAGCAGAGATAGCGCCACTGCACTCCAGTCTGGGCGGCAGAGAGAGACTCCGTCTCAAGAAAGCAAAAACAAAAACAAAAAAACCCACCCCAAACCATAAGGAACACAAATGTTAAAAGTTTAAGTATGGAAAAAAATATGTAGTAAACCCCCAGGAAAATGTAGCCCACAAAAATACCAATTAAAAAAAATTTAGAAAGAATGTCTTCAGCATTTGACTTCTGTCCTTCCCTTTATTTTTAAATAGGGACAGGCTCGATTTATTTTCTTCTGTTGAGATATGAGTAGGATTAGGATGTGACAGACTCTTGATCACTGAAGACTTTTACAGTATGGTATACATTTCTTCAGTTTCATAGAGGACAAGTTTTTCTTATTTACTTTTGGGATTTTTTTTCATGACAGAACAGAGTAACTGAAAATATTCCTTTAGCCACATACATAAACCCATGTTTTATTTTTGGATATTACTTATCCCACTATGGCATAGGTTTTATTGCATTAGCAAAACTAACAAGAAAACTGCTGTGGCTATATTAACATCAAACTAAACACTTTCTAAGGAAAAAAATTGGTAGAGATAAAGAAGAGAGCTATATAATAAAATGATTTATTAAGAAGATGTAACTCGGCTGGGCGCAGTGGCTCACGCCTGTAATCCCTGCACTTTGGGAGGCCGAGGCGGGCAGATCACGAGGTCAGTAGATCGAGACCATCCTGGCTAACACGGTGAAACCCCGTCTCTACTAAAATACAAAAAAATTAGCCGGGCGCGGTGGCGGGCGCCTGTAGTCCCAGCTACTCGGGAGGCTGAGGCAGGAGAATGGCGCGAACCCGGGAGGCGGAGCTTGCAGTGAGCCGAGATGGTGCCACTGCACTCCAGCCTGGGCGACAGAGTGAAGACTCCACCTCAAAAAAAAAAAAAAAAAAAAAAGATGTAACTCTAAACTTTTATGCAGCTAATTATAAACTCTCAAAATTACAAAAATTGACTGAACTACAGAAAAAAATAGAAAGACTAGAAAGACTCATACATTAGTGGGAGATTTTAATATATCTTTGTCAGTAATTAACAGATGAAGCAGATAAAAAATCAAGGATATAGATGATATGAACATAATTAATAGGCTTGAGCTAATGAATAGTTATAGATTACATCCGTTAATTTGAAAATATTGAATCTAAGCACATATGAAATATTTATTAAAATCGGCTACACGGAGACTGTAAAATTGTCCTCAATAAATTTCAGAGAATTGATATCAACAAATCTCATTTTTGGATCAAAATGTAACCAATTTAAAAATTAATAGCAAAAAGATAATTGGGAAATACCATACATTTAAACAACATATGGGTTAAGAAATCAAAATGCAAATTCAAAAGCATTAGAAATGAGAGATAATAAAAGCATTATATTTCAAAACATTGGAGGTAGGCAAAGTAGTATTAGAAAAAAATACAATTATTTAAATACATTAGTAAAGAAGACTAAATAGTGAATTAAAAACACAAGAATAGCAGAATAAGCCCTCAAAACATATAGGAAAGAGAATGAATAATTTAAAACAAACACCCCCCACGAAGAAAAACTAATGAATTAGAAAATCAACATACAAAAAGAATCCACAAAGGTAAAAGTTTGTGCTTTGAAAAAATTAATAAAATTGACAAGCCTGTGGCAATATATGTCAAGAGAAAAATGAGAAATGCATTATAAATAATATTGAGAATTAAAACAGGAACATAATGGAATAGAATTTTTTATGCTGAATAGATTAAAATATGTGTGTATTATGTACATTTTAAAGTCAATGAATCTGGAAATCTAGAAAATAAATAATTTATTTGAAAAATGCAGTTTGCTAAAACTGACTAAAAAGAAATAGAAAATATAAATAACTGTATAATCATTAAATAAATTGAATTAATAGTTTAAATTTTTCCCGCAAAGATAGCATCAGAACAGGGAATTTTTACCAATACAGTTATTCAGATATTTAAGGGGCAAGTAATTTAAATCCTATACAAACTCTATCAGTGATTATGAAAAGAGAATATTCTCCAAGTGTTTTGCAGCTAGCATAACTTTGACACTAAAATAAGGTAAGGACATTATAAAGTGGAAAAAGGCAATTTCACTTGTGAGCATTGAAGAAGAAGAAAAAAAGCAAAATAAAATATTAACAAACAAAATTTAGCACTATCCAGCACTATGCTAAAAAGAAAATACATTATGACCACGTTGTTTTTTATCTCATGAATGCCTGGTTCATTTAATATTGGAAATTTTATTAATGTAGCATCACTTCAGCATCATTGAAAGGAAATATACAATCTTCTTAACAGTTGCAGGGGAGATAGTTAATAGAATTTGCTCTCTGTCTCTAATTTAAAACTGAAAACTTTTACAAACTAGGAATAGAAGAAAAATTGTTTGACTTGATAAAGGCATCTGCAAAAATATTAAAACATGACAAATATCATACTGGATGAGGAAATGTATGAATTTCTGTTAACATCAGGAACAACCAAGCATATCCAACTTCTATGAAGACTGAAACTTATACTATTTTGGGGCTCTGATTCCTGAGTGTTAGGATTTATTGACCTGTTGATATCACCTCCTCTTATTTTTTGCAACTTCAAACCTAATCTTTTCTTTTCTTTTTCAACCCTTTAACACCTCTGTAACCAATATTCCTTGTCTTAACTTCTCGTTGGTTGAACTATCTCAAAACTCCAGCCTCAGAACTACAAATAAGAAATTATGTATTAAAATGAATATGAGGAAAAAATGCACAAAAAATATTGGAGACTTAGAGATTTTGATCTTTCTATTCTGAGATCTTTTAGAACAATTTATTGGAAATGCTTCCCAATTTCACTAGACTTCCCTTTCTATACCTAGAATACCCTGCAAATCCTAATAACTCTTGGAACTCACAGGGGTCTGTGCAAATGAGGGCCTAAGTTTTATTTGCTTCCTGAGGACCTAAGCTATATGTTTTAGAGATGTAAACTAATGCAATAAGACAAAAACTTAAAGTTCAAAAATTTGAATAAAAAGGAACAAAGCCATTACTATTACTAGGTGATACAGTTGTTCACATCAAAATCCCCAAATAATCAACAGACATATTTTTTTGGAATTAATATGAAAGCTTAGCTAGCTTGCTGTTTTAAAACAATGTATAAAATTAAATTGCATGTCTATACTTCGGAAATGATTAGAAAGATGATTTAAAAGACATCATTACAGTGCAACCCACACTTCCCCCAGCCAACCAACCAACCAAAGCAAGCACCACCTAGGATTATATCTCGCAATAGATGATCAAGAACTTTATGTAGAAAAGTATAGAATTTTATTGAGGCCAAGGTGGGAGTATTGCTTGCGTCCAGGAGTTCCAGACCAGCCTGGGGAACATATTGAGACCCTGTCTCCACCAAAAGAAAAAAAAAAAAATTATTGAAAGTCATTGGCAAGAAATACTATGTTCATGGATAGGATGATTCTGTCTCTTAAAGATGTTATTTTTTTCTCTATTATTGTCATTGCATCATTGTAAACCTGCTCTTCTTTCTCCATTCTTTGTTTATAGGGAGTTGAACTTGTCAAATTAGTGTCTACAGTGATATGTATGAAGCAAAGGGAAGAAGAATTCTTGCTAACTATCAGACCTTTTGCAAACAGGATGCAGGTAATGAATAAGAGATACTACATTTTCTTATTTTTTTTAGGTTAATAGGTTTACTGCATTTCAGCCACTAATTTTGATTCTTGATTCAGTGTCATTGATATTATATTTTAGATAATCCTCTTAGTTTCCATATTTATCCATACTCACATCATTGTAAATTACAGTATAATTTTAAATGCCTTCATAAATTATTTTTTTCCCACTATTAGGGACACATTACATTTATACTAGGAAAACTTAGAAATGTGTTGTCTTTGCTATTATTTATTTATTATCTTACTAAGGTAACCCGACACCATTAGGATTGAGGCACATGTGCTCACTTTAAAGGTACTGGTATTGTTCCTAAGAAGTTGCACAAGCCCGGGCTTTTAACTGAAGACAAACTTTTCACTGACATATAAAAAACTACAAATGCTCTCGTAATGGTAAGAATGATTCTGTATTAGTTCTCTGTTGCTGCTGTAACAAATTACCACAAACTTAGTGGCTTAAAACAGTACAAAGTTATTATCTCCCACTTAGTTCTGTAGGTTCAGAAGTATGATACAGATCTCACTGGGTTGAAATCTAGGTGTTGGGAAGGTTTCATTCTTTTCTACAGACTTTAGAGGAGTTTCTGTTTCCTTCCCTTTCCAGCTTCTGAAGGCTGTCTAAATTCCTTGACTCCTATTACTTTTACTCCATCTTCAAAACAAGTAACAGAGGGTTTAGTCTTCCTCACATCACATCATTCCAACCTCCTCTTCTGCCTCCCTCTTCAGCCATTATATTGGATTATATTATTCACTCCTCTGTGGCTCTCCTTCTGAAAAGTAAGCTCCCTTAGGGTAGAAACTTGTTCCCCTGTGTTAATCAGGGTCTAGGTCTGTCTGGTACATAGGAGCTATGATGCATGAATGAATCAGTTTTTAAATTTCATCCCTTAACATCACATTTTTTTTCAGTAAGCTGGATCACAGTGAAATCTCTATAATTTGAATTATGAGTTGAATTCAAATTGAAGTATGAAATCTATGACCATTGTACTTTGTTATTTCACTGAGAGTGCTATTTGAGTAGCCAGATTTACAACTGACATCAGTAAGTAATATTCAATGTGATATATTAAGTATCTTTCTGTAAATGCCCTACTATTGATTTTATTCTTTTGCAGTAGGGATTGATAATAATAGCGATGAAGACAATTAGCATCATCTTTGCTAGCATTTATGAACTACTTGCTATGTGCCATTAGTGAGTTCTTTTCATTATTTAATCTTCTCACTCCATGAGGTCATAAAGTACACATTTACTCTTTTGTCCACCCAAGAAAACTATCCCCCTTACCCAATGCTTCTTTTAGGAAACTGCTTCTCTCCATTCCCCGCAAGTGGTTTTGGGAACAGCCCAAGCACAATCCTTTGGCCTCTTGGCTATCAAGATGGATATAGGAACCAGTCTGGACCAGTCAGAATCCTTTAGTGGGAATCCAATAGTTAATATGTAGTCCATATCAAGCCAGAGTTCTTCCTCTCAGTTTTTGGACACATTATGGGAAGAGAGAGTTTCTTTTCCTCTTGGGTCCAAAAATGGCACGGATATAGCCTGAAACTGCTTGTGGTTTGTGGCGAATTAGAGGAAATGGATCAGGGATAGGAATCAGATGTCCTGACTTATGTAGTATGTGATCTCATTTTCTCCATTTTATATATGAACATACATATCTCAGAGCTGTTATTTTCCACAGGACAAATACCTTGTAAATAGCTAGTGAATGGGGGGGATTTTTATCTCACATCAGCCTACTTTCATTGTCTATATTTTCTTTAACTTTGCTTTATGCTCTGACATCCTGGCCACTTACTCTTTCCATTCTTCCTGCTTTCTGAAAGCACACAGCAAGGAAATGCACACTCTGTATTTCTAAAAAGGTGTTTCTTGGACAGTTGTTGCTCATCTGTACATCTTGTACTTGAACATGTCCACTTGAGGGTCTAGGGCTGGAATGACAAACAGGCCCCATCTTTCATGTTAATTCCAGGAGAATAAAAGTGGCTATCTACAGCTTTGTGTTGAGAAGGATTCTGAGGCTTCATCTGGCCTAGCAGAAAAGGAGGAAAGTGAAATAAGAATATGAGCTATTTAATTTGCTCAAAATGTTTGATAATTCAGATTCTCTTTTGGAAATACGGAGTTGCACTTTTCAGAATCCAGGAAGTGTTGAATCAAGGACTCTTGTTTTTAAGCTCAAAAAATATTTTGTTAGCCAGGGACTCAACCTGTATACCAAACCAAATTCCTCAATGGTCTCTTCACTATGGAATGATGACATCTTCTAATGAACATCTTCCTTTGCAAAATGCCCAGACAGTTCTATGCCACAACGATAGGAACAGCAACATGACCTGAATTTAGATTCTGGAACTGAATGTCATTTATTGGGACCACTCTTTTTCGGTGAGAGAGATGCTAAATCACAGCCACCCTGAGAAAATTGTCATGCACTGGTATTGTTGAACATTTTCTAACAATCAAATTGGGCCTCACATTTTGTTGGTTGGAAGTTCCATTTCTTCATCTTTGGTCCAAGTTACTTAGCAATGACCAATCAAACTATGTGCCCACCATATTGTTTTGCATGTTTGACTAGAACATTGACAGATTAATAGGAAGGGTAAATAGCAGAGCACAACTGCGGCGGCCCAGTGTGGGGCAGCAGGATTGACTGCTCCGGACTTTGTTGTGTTTGCTCAGAGGAAGCCGCAGCAAAAGCCTGCTGGGATGAGGTGACCTGGGTCATGGGCATTTGTTTTTTGTCTCTATAGAAAACAATTGTCTTCTCAATGGAAGATGGCTTTTTTCTGAGTCTACATGGTTCCACCAATGAGGAAGCATTTGCCATTCCAGCGTGCTTGCTAAAACACAGTCATACAAATAAAAAGGCCACACAAAAGTTCAAATTTACTGTATTTTTCAGAGAATCCTTTGGCTTATGTTAACCAGGAGAGAAGCCTAACTTTGGAAAATTTATCTTGAGGGTCTCTAAACCTTCGTCTATTTACTGCTAATTCCCAATATTTGATGTTTAGAATTTTATGAAGTTTCAAAATCCAGCTACCTTTCCTTCCCCTATAGTTCATGAAGGCAGAACCCATTAACATGTAGCACTGTTGATTTTGTAAACCCTGGCTTTGGTAAAAATTTATTTTGATTTCAGAATTGCTCTACTCTGAATTGATATGAATGAAATACATTAATAATAAAGGAAAATCTACTTTGGGTAAGATTTAATTAATCAAAAGTGGTGACTTGATTTAAAAGCTAGAACTATGTTTCTGGTTGATAGATTTATTTGAGCATGACTAATTTTACATTTACAAATTTATCACAGTTCTTTAGAAAAAGACTTACTTTTAATAAAAGACTCCAAAGGATTCCACCAATAATTGATGAATTATTCTTGATCAATCTTGATGTACTTTATACACACACACACGCGCGCGCACACACACACGTATACATACATACAGACATACATAGAGATAGAGACAGAGATTAGAGACAGAGAGGGATCAAGAATATGTATGTTCAGTCAGCCAGACTCTCTTCTTGGTCTGGTAGGAATGAAGAGGGGGTCAAATGGCACTCTACAATTTAACTTTTCGGTAATTTTAATTCTGCTTTGTCATGTCTGACTGGTGCTGTTTTCCAACCTTTTCTTCCCCTTTACTTTCTCTTTTCTTTACTCCTTTGCTTTTTTGTCCCTGCTTTCCTAGAGCTTAGGGCTTAGGAAAGTCATGAAAGTGTTATTGGTGGTGGTTGTGGAAACCATTTTAGTTTCTGGCTGCCCACTTCAGGTCACATTGAGCTGTTTCCACTTCTAAAGCTGAAAAACCACCATGGGATGGGGTGGTGGATGGTGGTGTACTCTAAACAGTGAACCAAAACGCCCTCAAAACTCAAGGAATAAAAACCTCTCAGTGACATTAAAAGCTAAGACTAATCTGAGTATTAAGAAAAATCAAGACATCTGCACAGATATGATATCCTTTTTATTCATTTAAAATTAACCAGTATTTATTTATTTTTATTTATTTATTTTTTTGAGACGGAGTCTCTCTCTGTCGCCCAGGCTGGAGTGCAGTGGCTGGATCTCAGCTCACTGCAAGCTCCGCCTCCCGGGTTTACGCCGTTCTCCTGCCTCAGCCTCCCGGGTAGCTGGGACTACAGGCGCCCGCCACCACGCCTGGCTAGTTTTCTTGTATTTTTTTTAGTAGAGACGGGGTTTCACTGTGTTAGCCAGGATGGTCTCAATCTCCTGACCTCGTGATCCGCCCGTCTCAGCCTCCCAAAGTGCTAGGATTACAGGCTTGAGCCACCGCGCCCGGCCACCAGCATTTATTATGCACATCCTCTGTGCTACTCAGAGGATAGTTTCTGCCCTCAGAGAGTTGAGAGTCTTGGGTTGAGGCATGGGGAAAGATAATTATCCAAAGAATTATAATATGGCATTCCCAATTCCCCATAGAATTAATTATAATACAGAGATGGGGAGTGAGCCCAGAAGACTGGTACCGATGCTATATTTTCGAGACACTGGAAGATGCATGTGGTTTTGTGGCTCTTTATTAGACTAATTTAATCTCATTTGCAAGGCATAAAACAAATAACAATTGTCTAACTGATGCCTGTACAATAGAAACATGGTAAAACTTGGGAAAGAGCCTTGGACTGTAAGTTTGGTAGGGCAGAAATTGCACCTGTCACATTCACTGTATAGAGTGAGACTGGCACTCCATGAATATCTGTGGAATTAATGGATAGATGAGAAGCCTTAAGACTGTAGTTGCCACTTATTGGCTGTGGCCAACTTTTAGCGTGGCCTGGGGTCTCTCTGACTATCTGTTTCTTCACCTATCAAATGGTTCTGCAATACCTCCCCACGTCACAGTATTATTATAGGATCGAAGCCTATTTCTTTAGCATCCACTATATGGGAGGCACTAATCTTAAGGATTACATGTGTTGACTCATTTCACCTTCATAATAGAAATATGAGGCAGGTACTGTTATAATTATCATTCCCATTTTACAGATGATTATGTGTCATTGGTTCTTTGTCAACTATAAAGTACTGTATTAATCAAAGAAATGGCATTGTAATTATTATTTCTAATATTCCAAAAGGCAAAAGCATGCAGAAACCCTCTGTGAAGTTCTGTCTCTTGTCTGACTCTGTCTGTGTTACACTGCCTTCCTCTGAAATTTATAGCATGAGAATATTTTGGGCATCCATTTTAATTAAGGATATTTGGATGATGCAGAAGTAAAAGCCCTGCAAATCTCCTCCAGAAAGAAAGATATATCTTCATTTTGAATATTTGTGCCCTGGAATTGGAACCAAAAAGCCACCAGAAACTGCTGCCATGCAAGAGATGAGCTTCTCTTTGACTCTATCTTCCCCATGGGTACAGGGCTCTCCCTGCTTCTCTCTGAATATGTGTTCCATTCTTTTTTCCCTTCCACATGGCTTCTTCTGTTTCTTCATCACTGTGGTTTGTCCATAACTGCTATGGCGTTTCCATCCCCAGTGCTGTCTTGTGCGCTTTTAGTTCTACTCTCACAATTCTTTGGCTTATTTTCCTGTCATTCTAAGTACTGAGATTGGTCTAGCTAATTTTCTCATGCTCTGCCATATCACAGTCCTCTGGTCAGCTGATGGTCCAAACATCTGGAGCAAGGAGGGCAGGCAGTGTCCTGAGCTGTGATCCTGGTGAGGGCTGTGGCAGGGGTTGTTCTGTCCAACAACTGAATATAAAATATAACTGAGGTATCAATTTTATTGGTTGCTAAATGTACCAGATAGGGCTTTTTATTAAATAGTCTCATATTAGAAGGAGAATTTGTGAATAGAGATTTTAAGCTTGTTTCTAATTTTAAAAATTGAGTTGTATTACAACTTTTTGTTTTTAACCTGTAGGTAGTGACCTTCAGTTTATAAGAAGAAAAGAGTTTTGAGGTAATGACCTCTCAGATTTTAAGTCAAATGGGAGAAGGTAGTGAAGTAATTTTTTTTTTTTTTATGGCCAACAGATTTTTATTTTTGTACAAAGGTGCAAAACAATTCAATGAAGAAAGGATAGTGTTTCCAGCAATGCTGCTTGAGCATTTGAATATCCATAGTAAAAAATTGAACCTAAACCTTGCACTTTATACAAAATTAACTCAAAATGCATTAAATATGTAAATGTGTAATGTAAAACTATAAAACTTTTAGAAGAAATAGGAGAAAATCTTCATGACCTAGGACTTATTGAAGAGTGCTAGACATGAAACCAAAAGCAAAATTCATAATATGAAAAAATTGATAGACTGAATTTCATCAAAGTGAAGTAAATTTTTAAAGTCTCTGTGTTGTGATCGATTTGCAGCAGGTTATACAATCAATTTCATGGGTTACTATCTACATTTTTAAGAAAGAGAAATAGATTGGAAAAATAGAGAGGTCAATGTGCTATATACACAGTAAGATGTTTCTTGTTTCCTGATACTTTTATTTCAGTTATATACACGTGGGTATTTATTGGCCATGATGTAAGATGTATATCTTACCATGGGATATAGGCCAAAAGATTGTAAGTTACCAGTGTAGAGGTTAAAATCTGGGTTTGGGGTCCTATGACCCTGGGTTGAAATCCTGTCTCTACCATTTAGGAGCTGTGTTACCTTACAACTCCAAACCACAGTTTTCTCTTCAGCAGAATAGGTTAATATGACTTACCTCATACAATCAAGATGCTAAATCAATGTGAGCAAAGTGCTTAACATATGACTTAACATAGCTTATTTTGTTATTTTAAATGAAATTGACTGCTGTTGGCTGTTTAGGTTAAGTGTGGGAAATTTCTGGAAATGCTTTACATCAGAGATGTGGGTAGGAATTATGAACAAGGATAGGAAGTAGAGAAAAAATAAAGAGCGGAGAAAACGTCTCAGACGTTTTAATGCCAACAGAAAAACCATTTCTAGGTCCTTTCATGTGTTCTAGGTGACTTTCAAGTCTCTTTTTCAATGCAATCATGAAACACATTAATATTATATATTGTTATGAATGCAATGATCCAATCCACAGAGATTCTGGGAAGAATGATGGGGACAGTGGTAGCCCACAAATTGAGTAAGGAAAGGAAAAAGTGGAGAGTAATCCAGTGAGACACGGTCTATTTCACCTCTTTTTTGTTGCACCTCAAATGCCCCAGAACACAGTAGTATAAAACAACAATCATTTTATTATGCTTATTAATTGTGTGAGTCAGGAATTCAGATAGAGCACAGTAAGGATGACTTGCTTCTGCTCCATGATGTCTGAGGCATTCCCTGGGCAGACACAAAGGCTGAGGTTGACTCAGATGGCTGGGGACTGGAATGATCTGGAAGCTTCTTCACTCACACGTTTGGCACCTGGGCTGGGGTGATTCGAAGGCTGCGTTCAGCTGGAACTGTAAATCAGCATGTCTACTCAGGGCCTTTCTGTGTGGTGTGAACTTCCTCATAGTATAATGGTCTCAGGGTATTGGTGCTTCTCACAGGGTGGCTAATATCTCCAAGAACAAGCGTTCCCAAAAGAGAAGGAGGAAGATCCGTTACCTTTAATCACCTAGCCTCACAAATCACATAGCATCACTTCTATACTCTATTGGTCAAAGCAGTCACAAATCTGCCCAGATTCAAGGCTCCCCTTCAAAGATCCTTTCTCTCATTGGGAAGAATTGAGAATTGCATGTAAAAATTAAAAAGGAAGTTTTAAAAGGGTGGTAACAAGCAAAATCTTTAGTTGTGGCCTTTATATCTTCACATTCTCACCATGAATGAACCATAGACAACTTGGGTAAATAGAGAGAGACCATGAGGAGTCATTTATGTTTAACTGTAGATGGTCTCTTGAGATATCTTCGGAATGGACTGAGCTTCCTAATGATACTTGTTTGGTTAATTCTGAAACAACTTCGTATTTCTTGAATTTCCCCTCCAAAAGGTAAGGTTAAAAAGCTGGATATGTCAGGAGCACCAGCCTGGGACGTGTAAAAGCGTTGAAAAATTAGTGGGGAAAACAGCTTTACCAAACCACAGTTAAAAGTCTCCTCCGCCTCTCCATTCTTTCTGCATTTTAAAGCAGGTTCTATCTTACTAAAACTCTCTATTTAGGAACACTGGGATGGGGAGTAGAAGAATTCTTGGGTTTTAGTCCTGAGTTCTTTACTACAGAGTGGCCTGGGCAAACCATTTCACCTTCAGTATGTTCCATGCTTTTTGAGGTCACTTTCAGTATTCAGTGGCTCATTTTATGGCTTTCCAAATGGCCCAAATATGTTAATTTTATGAGCAAACTAAGCTATAGGTAATGCATTTTGTACACATAAACTGAAAATGTGACTTTTGATCTGTCATTTTACCTGTCAAATTAGCACAGATTAAAAACTCAATGTTGGTGAAAGTGCATTAATAAAGGCCTCTCTTACCATGTGGCCAAACACACTGTCTAATTGATGTGGCTTTTCTGCAGAGCAATTTGACTTGATTTTATGTATCAAATATGTTGAAACATCCATGCCCGTTGATTCCACTTATCCCTTCTGAGAATCTGTTTTAAAAACCTAATTAGAGTGGGAGACCAAGATTTCTGTGTAAGGATGTTCACTGCTATGTTATTTATAGTTATGCAATAATGGAAATCACCTATATTGTCTAATAATAGAAACATTTTATAACTTACAGTGCATACAAATAGTGATACTATGTGGCCAAAAAATCAGATTTTCTTAAAAGAGTATTCATACACAACAAATTTGCACAAAGTAATTAAAGTCTGCATGGAGAAAAACTGGCAGGAACTGCATCAAGATGTCTAGATATAATTATTGGTGATTTTGTCCCCGTTTGGAGGTCTTTCTGTTTTCGAAAATCTGTAATGAATGTGTATTATTTTTATAATCAGAAAAGAAAATGAATGATATTGATATGTGTTTTTACACATCATTTTCTTTTATTTGTGTTAATGCCTGCCTCCAAAAAAAGAGAGCTGGCAGGTTCATGCCTTCTTGAGTTTAACACTCATGAATGCTGTGCCTTCTGCCCTGCCCCTTCCCAAGCTCCCTGCTCCCTTTAACACCAATTGGACGTCCCATACTGGGAACTGGATCTGAGATGTGAAGGTGGTATGGGGCTGAGAAGGGGAGTCAGCCAGGCGGTCAGGTGTGAGATCTTCTGGTGGTTATGCACTCCTACAGGCACTAGGCCGCCTAAAGCCTGCCTGTGGCCCCTGGTTGAAGGCCTCAAATCTACAAAGCTATTAGCTAGATTTTACTGGAGTAAATTACCCCTGCTTTGCAAGAACATTAACGAATTACCATGAAAATGCTGTCATCACCAGCACAAATGTCTCTCAAAGGCTCACTTCAGTGGGGTTTTTTTTGTCCCAACTCATAAGATTCACTTGTTAGTTCCACAAAAAGGGAAAACTGAATCTTGAGGTAATTTGCACTTTGGGTGAATTCATCCACCCGTTTTTTTTCCCATAGGGTTTGTTTTGTATCCAGGCTTATGCACAACTTTTGTAAGGAGCAATAGCAGTTGTGTGGGCACTTGAAATGGGAGAGAATTCTAAAGTCGCTGCATCGTGTTAAACACCAAGAATGGGGAGGATTGCCTCTTAGTCCAGAGTAAAAGAGATCTGAATTTAAAACAAGGAGAATTTTAACTTTAAAAGTCTGACTCTGGAAACAACTACAGGCTACAACTTGCATGTATTATAGTTTGCATTTTGAAGCTTATTAGTCTGGTTAATAAAATTACACAGCTATCCTATGAATGTAACTATTACATGCATTACATTTAGAGTCTTTGGATGATACACACCTAGTGAGTCCTCAGAAACCACACACAGGTTACATTTGGAATCCAGAATGGCAGGTCCCAATTATTAGGATGAAAACGATATACATCAATTCGTCTTTGAATGTTAGCATTTTATAATTGTCTGATCAATTACATCTAATTAAAATTTAAAAGCAGGTTCAAAATCAGGAGGGTGGTTAAGAACGTTTATTAAGTAATGGTATTTAACATAAATTTGTATAGGCTGAATTTACATTGTCAATTAGAGTTTGTTCTTAGAATGACTCACATTCAGAAATAAGTTGTTTTCCAAAGCACAGTGTATGAAATGTTATCTATTTTGGATTTATTAATTAAAGTTTGTTGTTGGTACAAATTGTTTCCATTCCAAAATAGATGCAACTGGTTAGGTCAGTCAGAGACCCAGGTAGAAAAAAAAAAAATCTAGCTTTCCTGGGTTGTTTTCTAATCTGCATATAGGTAGAATACCCCACAGAAGAGCTAAATATGTAAAGAAGAGAGAAAAACAACCCCCCACCCCCCAAATGGATACATAGAAATTCACTAAAATACAAAGAAGTTTGGTTTTTAGTAACGTCAGAAAGTTCCCCAAATTAGAATAACTAGATCACAGCATACATGATGTTTTGTGTCATTGAAAAGCAGATCTTTTAAATTATGTATGCCAATGGGCATCACGATCTTGTTAATGCTTTGAGCCTCAGGATATCCTAGTCCAGTCCTTTTAAGTCCTCTTGATATTTGGGCTCTTAAAATAGATACCATTTACTGAAGTGCATTGGCCCAAGAGGAAGTACAGCAGACATCAACCCACCTGTTCCACCCTCCAGCAGGTCCTGAGGACAGGACCCTCATTCCTACCATCAGGACTCTGCAGGCTCAAGGCTTGACTTGGGACGGGGTCAGTGCTTTCCTCTAATTGTATTTGGAGATGAGAACAGTCCCAAAGTGCACTGTGTGCAAAAATTTATATCCATCAGATCATTTTGCAGTGATCTCCTGTTTTTCAGCAGGTGTCTTTGGAGCAAATACCTTTCTGTCCAGTCCCTATCCTCCCCATTAATACAATGAAGGATATTCTAAGTTGCAATATACAATGGTTAT